CGGTTACTCAACGAGCATTTATGGAACTTGTACCGCAGCCTGCGCTGGAGAGCCGTGTAGGGAACGAGCATTTATGGAACTTGTACCGCAGCCTGCGCTGGAGAAGGGAGAAGCCATGATACAGGGTGCTGAGTGCAGACCCCGGGTGGGGTGGTACAGGGCACGGAGGACACGGACCGCCCATGACCAGAGTGGCGGGCATGGGGTCATGGAGACAGACGTCACCGAAGGCTAGTCCCAAACACCTTCCAACCTCCGATGCAAGAACTCACCTGGTGGCCATGCAACAGGCACCGGGACTCCCGAGGCCTGCCCCACGGTCGGGGCCAGCAGAGAAGCCCCGAGTCTTTGGGCTCCAGTAACTGGGACTGTTTACCAATCGGGCATCTCACTGCCTTTTAAGGGCAAAAGTTAACTGTGCTGGAAACTAAGCCGCAAGCCTCGTTGTCAATAGAGATGCAAATGTCTTAACCCCCCACTGGTGAGGTGACTGGTGTCCTGTGAAATGCAAATGCCCTCAGCTGGGGACGGAACCTTAACCAGCTTTCTACCTAATTTATCAATTTCATCCCGAGAGTCCCTCCCGCCCCTCCCTTCCCACTGGCTGTGTGTGCAGGGCCGTGGCCTGCATTCCCGTGTGACTCCTCTGTCATCATCACGGTTCCCTGGTGAATGGATTCAAACACAAGTGCGACAGGTGCTCACTAGGTAACAGGTGTAGTGACACGGGTGCTGTCCACTGGGAAGACGGCATCGCTAGGTATTCCCGCCCCCAAGAGGATGTATGGGGGCGAAAGGAAGGATTGCACCTCAGCGCGCGCAGGCCTGGGAGCCTCGTGGCCGGGTTTGGCTGGACCAGAGCATTCCCTTTTATCCAACCAGCGATTGTGAGAGTCCCAACCTCACTGGTGTTTCTTTTTCTGAAGCCAGGTGTTGGGCCGCTCTGGCCAGTTTTTCTAGATCCCCAGCTGGAGAGCTGTGCCCTGGACCACGATGGAGGCTGGACAGCCGCCGCCGGTTCCTTTGTGGGCTGCATTCCCTGGGGAAGCCTCCGCGAGGCGGTTCCCTTTGGCTTCAGAGCGTCCAGTTCAGAACGCCCTGGATCGGAACAGTAGCAAGGGCAGCAGGTAAAAGTCCACACAGCATTTAACAATTCCTGTCCTAGCGGTTTGGCTCAGTGGATAGAGCCTCAGCCTGTGGACTGAAAGGTCCCAGCTTCGATTCCAGTCAAGGGCACATGCCCGGGTTGTGGGCTCGATCCCCAGTGGGGGGCGTGCAGGAGGCAGCTGATCCATCATTCTCATCACTGATGTTTCTATCTCTCTCTCCCTCTCCCTTCTGCTCTGAAATCAATAAAAATATATTAGAAGAAGGAGGAGGAGGAGGAGGAGGAGGAGGAGGAGGAGGAGGAAGGCCTGGTTAGGGGCCCGGAGAGTAGGAGCTGGGGAGGGTCAGGGGAGGGAAGGCACCTGGGTGAGCAGACGGCAGGTGGCCCGACTGCCCGGGCAAGCCCTCTGTCCCCATGGTCTTCACTATCTTCTGGGTGACCTTCCAACCTGTAGCCACTTGCCCCAGGGGTAGCCCAGCTGTCCTAGGGCTGAAGCAACCGTTTCCTCTCCCTCGGGCATCACACGCGGCATGTGGGCTCCTGCCTCTGGCCTCCTTCTGACCTGACCTCCTTCCCCTGAAAGCACCGTGGGCACCAGGTGTCCCCCCTGTTAGCGAGCAGCTCTCACTGCAAATCGGAGCAGTGCAGGCCGCCAGGAGCCTCCCGCTGACTTCACTCACACACACAGCCGAGAACTAGCCCCCGAGGGTGCCCGGAGGAGCGCGGCACACGGCGTGCACCACACAAGGATGCCAAGTCACATGGCGTGCACCACACGAGGACGCCAGGTCACACGGCGTGCACCACACGAGGACACCAGGTCACACGGCGTGCACCACACGAGGACACCAGGTCACACGGCGTGCACCACACGAGGACGCCAGGTCACACGGCGTGCACCACACGAGGACGCCAGGTCACACGGTGTGCACCGCACGAGGACGCCAGGTCACACGGCGTGCACCGCACGAGGACGCCACAGCAAGCAAGCTCGGGCGGGCGCCAGTGAAGCTTTAGGCTCAAGCTGAGCAGGGAAGTGATTGTGAAAGGCTCCTTGTCACGCCCGCAAGTCGTATGGAAAGCACCTGGGCTTCCTATCAGCTGTACTGAATGAAAGTTTGAAAACAGGTCCTAGATTTCCCCTTCAAGGGCCTCATCTCTGTCCCATTACTGTTTCTTTCGAGTCTGAGCGCCCCTCAGTGACCGTACAGCAGTTCAGAAGTGGATGCCAACTCATCAATCCTAAAGAAGTTTGCTAGGCTGGGGGCCGGGGAGGTGCAGAACAGAATTCTCATTTAGTCTGTTTGTGGCAATATTTGCAGTCACTTTAGGGTGTAGGAAATTGGTTGTTTTTAGCATGTGAGAAGCCACAGTTAAAGTGCTAACCGTTTTCCAATTGTCCGCCTGCTGCATTTGTTCGTGAGACGGTAAGGGGTCCGTGGCAGGAGGTCTCCTCATTCAGGAAGAGAATCCGGAGGGGATGAGCTGGTCACCACCCATTTCCCTGAGGATTCATGCTCGAGTTGTAAGTCATGGTTCAGAATTTAAAGGGAGCTGGAGAGAGCCTGTGGTCAAGCCGTCGGTGTTGGGAAATGCAGGACTCACATCTTCCCACAACCAGGTCAAAATGACACCTGGACACAGAACCACCCTCATTCAGAACCACCTGGATTCTAGCTGAATAGGGATTTAAAGAAGAAGCCACATAGAGACTGGTAGGAGGGACTGATACGCTGAAAGGGCTGGTCCCACGCCCACGTGAGGCAGATAAAAATCAAGAGGGAGCCCAGCCGGCATGGCTCAGTGGTTGAACATTGACCTATTGACCAGGAGGTCACGGTTCGATTCCCGGTCAGGGCACATGCCCAGGTTGCGGGCTCGATCCCCAGTGTGGGGCGTGCAGGAGGCATCCTATCAATGATTCTCTCCTCACTGATGTTTCTCTCTCTCTCTCTCTCTCTCTCTCTCTCTCTGTAATCAGTAAAAATATAGTTTTAAAAAAATAAGGAGGATATCTTGGCTGTGGAGGTGTCCCCCGACCCCCAGGCGCCCCAGCCCAGGGTTCCAGTGCCAGGAAGAAAATTCCCCATAAATTCTGGCTGTAAAAAACCAGCAAGGATATGACTGAGAGACATGGAGGCTGCTGGAGTCCCAGGTAGTTCCTCTTAAAGGGCCCAGGCATGGACTTACTCAGATTCACTCCCTCGGAGCTCCAGCACTGGGGCAGCAGCTGGACAGCACCAGGGCCATTCGGGGAGGAACTGAATGGATTACGTGCTCCAATCAAAGGACAGACAGTAGCTGAATAGGTAACTACAAGAGACTGACTTCAGAGCCAAAGACGCGTACAGAAGGCAAAGTGCGGAAAAAGAGGTTTCATAAAAATGAAAACAAACCAAAAGCTGGGGTAGCGATGCTTATACCAGACAAAATAGACATGAGAACAAAGTTGGCAGAAAGAGCTCAGCAAACATTGGCTGAATACACTGGGTTCTCTCTTTTGACCCCGCCCCTCCAGCCCACGTGGCTACTAGCCAGGAGGCAGCCAGCTCGGCCACCCGCCCATCCCCATTCCCGGTCATCGGGGGAAATAAGAGCCCAGGTTCCATCCCCTGAGCAGAATCTCTTTTATTAAAAAGATGATCTGTCACCACCCAGTTCCCTGGGACAGGAATGCCCTCCCTCATCGTGGGAGCTTACAAAGAGGTGGGAGGCACCGGGACCTTCCTGGGACTGTGGCCTCGCTCTGGTGACGAAGCACCTTGGTAAGAGAATCGGCACAGGGTTGTCCTTCATGCCAGCCACCCCCTCGCCCCTTTAAAGCGGAAGGACTGGGCCGTGAAATGAGTCCCGTGGCTGCTGGTCCCAGGCCCCTTGCCCTGCGGTGGTTCCCATCCCGGCGGCAGGGCTGGCCCAGGGCGGGCTCTCTGCCCGGGGAGTGGGCTGGCGGCAGGGGCGCTGGGCTCGGCTTCTGGCCCCGCACAGGCCCCGCCGAGCGGAAGCCCGGGGTCGGCAGCTGCGCTGGGAAGATCGTCTCTAGTTCTGGGCCGACTCCAGTTGGTTGAGTCGCTTGACGATCATGCGGTTGAGTTTCTTGAGCTCCTCTATGTCCCTCCCCTCAGCCGCCAGTCTCCTCGACACGTTGTCCATCTTGCTTCCGGTCTGAACTTCAAGATGGAAAACAGAATGTTACATGGGAGTCAGGGCCCCGCGTTGGTGCTCGGCTGAGCCCTGATCAGCCCTCTAGGCCAGTGGTCGGCAAACCACGGCTCGCGAGCCACATGCGGCTCTTTGGCCCCTTGTGTGTGGCTCTTCCACAAAATACCGGCTCCTCCACAAAATACCGACTTCTGCGCATGGGCCACGAAGTTTCAATCGCACTGTACGTGCGCGCCCGCACGTGGTATTTTGTGGAAGAGCCAATTAAACCACCAGCTACGAAGTAAGTGCGAGTAGGCGCCCCAGCAGTGAAGTGGGGGGAGTACTTACTGATGAGGAAGGTCACCAAGGCGACCAGCACCAGGCTGACCATCAGCGCGAGGACCAGCCCCAGGAAGAGCAGCCGGGAGCGCCCATCGCCCGAGCGAGTGCTGGCCTCCAGGGTCTTCTCCTCCGGCGCTAACACAGAACAACACCGTCACAGAGGCCCCCCCCCCCCTCACCGGTCAGCGGGACTGGCATCCCACCATCGGGGACCTAATCACTCTGCGGAGGTGTAGCCGGACAGTCACTGGGCCCCGGCTGCGGTCACCACTTGAGCCAGTTAAGCAGAGATGGGTTTGGCTTCCGTCCGTCCCTCCTGGGTCACCCCAACAGCCTTGCTTCCTAATCAAAGCAGCAGCACCTCCTTTTCCCGGGACTGGCTGCGGTTAGGACAGGTGAGAACTCTGAATGCTTTACAGTAGAGAAAAGTGAGATCTGGAGGAGCCTGGAGCAGCGGTAAATTGGCGCGGTGAGAGTTTCGAGTTTAGAGTTTAGAGTCCACATGAGGCAAAAGCCATGCGGCAACAAGGCCTGTGGGGGGTCGGCAGGCACGCGGGACCAGGTGAGGCCCAGCTCACCTGCAGGGGCCTTACGATGCACGGGGATGAGACACGCCCTCGGTGGTCGGCAGATTGCTTTGCTTTGCTTTCTCTCCCCCGCCTTTCATTCTAGCCCTTTAATGGGGCCATTCGTCATTTGTCAGGAGAAAATGACGTTGACCTTTTTGCCCAACAAAGTTTTACTGCTTTTAAAAACTAGATGGACGTGTGGAACATTTTCTCAGCCGTTCACCATGAAGGGAGAGGTGTCTGGGGAAGGGGGCGCCCCGGGGACCTGCCCGTGGTCGCCTCCTGGCCCAGCAGGGGCTTCTCAGACAAGAGCGCTCACTCAGAAGCCACGAAAGCCCACCGCCCGCCACGGGCTTTCAGGGCAAAAGCAAGTGTAGCCCAGTAGTCAGTGCATCTCTGAAGCAAGCATTTGAGGCCTCCCACCCTCCCTCCCATCCCCCCAGCCCAGGCGAGCAGCTGCTGTTCTCAGGGGCCGCAGAGCTGGGAGCCCTTGGGCCAGAGGGCACACGTACTGAGCAGATGCTGGGACCCCTCGGGGCAGAAGTTGAGTCTGTGCAGGTCGTTGATGGAGTCCACGACATACAGCTTCCTGTCCTCGGGGATGGGGATGCTGCGGGAGCCCGAGTCCCGGGGGGTGCGGTGCATGGTCCCTGGAAGGAAGCACCGCATCAGCCGAGAGCTGGAGGCTGGTCTAGCGCGTGGCTGGAGAGTGGCAGCCCGCGGGCAGCAGACAAGCCGGCAGAACCCCCCCCCCCCCACACACACACACACATAGTATTTCCAGCGGCAGGTCCGGGGAAGCCGTGCTTGTCCAGGGAAAACGTTTCCTTTGGGGACACCTTTGTACTGTCCTTTGCCCACCAGGAGGCTGCAGGGCTGTGCAGCGAGTGACTCCTACACCCTGCGTATCTGCACGCCCTCTCCTCCTCCTCCGGTTTCCCCGTCCTGCCTGTATTTTTCCTGCCCCACCCTTTTATTTTGTAATCTCTCTATATAAAAGCCTAAGCGACCATTTGACCATTCAACCATTCGACCAGTAGCTAGGATGTGCACTGACCACCAGGGGGCAGACGCTCAATGCACAGGCATGGAAACATGGGACAGACGGATGAATCTCAGAGGGAAGGAGGAAGCGGGGAGGGCAGGAAGAGATTAACCAAAGATCTTATATGCCCACCAGAGGCCCGGTGGGGGTCCCTTGGCCTGGCCTGCGGGGGATCGGGCGAAACTGGCAGGTCGACATCCCCCAAGGGGTCCCGGATTGTGAGAGGCTGCAGGAAGCGCAAGGGTAACAATTGGTGGCTCTGAGGCCCCTTTGTTCGAGATCATCGCTCCATGCACTGGGCCTTTAGTTGATTATAAAATATTTCCCTTTCATCACACTGTTCACATTGTGGTGAGATGACTCAAATCCTTTGTGTACAAAGATTATGTCTAAACATCGGGGAAGAGCAAAGGCAGCTAGCTCATCCTAAGAGGAGAAAAGGACTGTAAACCTTTCTAATCACAGAGGTTTCCACACGGGCGTCATGTTCATGTTCTCCCTCAAGACAGCATCTGAGTCTCCACCTAAAACGTGCTCCTTTTTTCCTTCTTATTGAATGTATTGGGGTGACACCGGCTAACACAGTTATACAGGGTCAGGTGCTCAATTCCACAGCACGTCACCTGGGCACTGGCTTGCGTGTTCGCCACCCCAGTCAAGTCTCCCTCCATCACCGCTTATCTCCCTATACCTTCCTGCACCTCCCCTGCCCCCCGCCCCCCAGCAGTCACCACACTGTTGTCCATGTCCGTGAGTTTTTCCTTTCCTTTTCTGTTCAATCCCTCCCCCTGCCTCCCCCCCCCCCCCCCAGCTGTCAGCCTGCTCTCTCTCTCTCTAAGTCTGTCTCTGTTTGGCTTGTTGGTTCATTTTGTTCATTAGCTTCCACCTATGAGTGCGATCACGTGGTACTTGTCTTTCTCTGACTGGCTTATTATTTCACTTGGCATAATGCTCTCCAGGCCCCTCGTGCTGTCGCAAAGGGTGAGACTTCCTTCCCTTTGCAGCTGAGTGCTGCTTCGCTGTGTGAATGTCCGCAGCGTTTTCATCTGCAGACGGGCACTGGGCTGCTCCCGGATCCTGGCTGCTGTGACGGTTCTGCAGCCACTGGAGGTGGCGGTGGTCCTCGGGACAAACCTGAGAAGCCGAGACCTCAGAGAGGAACCCTGCGGCCTGGGAAGCGATCCAGGGCCTCTGAGGTGTCCCCGAGCTTCCTCAGACGGAGGCCACGGACATCACACGGCCTTTTCAGGTGGAGGGACACGCCACAGGTAATATTCCCTGAAGACAGCAAGACTTCACGCAGCACTGAAAGCCCGAACGGACTAAAGGTCTATTTTAAGATGCTCTCTGGTAGACAGAGGCCTTGTGGCCTTTGAATTAATTATGTGAAAAGAAGGCACCCGGCTGGTGTGGCTCAGTGGTTGAGGTTGACCGATGAACCAGGAGGTCACGGTTCAGTTCCTGGTCAGGGCACGTGCTCGAGTTGCGGGCTCGATTCCCAGTAGGGGGCGTGCAGGAGGCAGCCCACCGATGAGTCTCTCTCATTATTGGTGTTTTTATCTCTCTCTCCCTCTCCCTTCTTCTCTCTGAAAACCAATAAAAACATATTTAAAATACCTCTGCTCTTTACAAAAGTGAAAGGAACATCATATAGAACAAAGGGGCTCAGAGCCGTCCACTGTTACCCTTTTACAGATGAAACCCAGTCCTGACTGATGTCATGGTCACAGGTCTCTAAACCATGCCTCTAGGAATGTTTTAGACTTTATTGCCTCTTTATACTTTATTGTCCCAAAGGCTGGTGTTTGGTGAGGAGTAGAGTTTGTGTGAGTCACATCGAGGATCATCACTCCACACTCGGCTCCTATTTTAGGCGTGTGACTCAGGGAGATGCATTTGCTTCGCGTTGGGATCTGACTTCATATCCTGGACCCCGAGCTCCTCCCCCAGGGATGTAATTACTGTGCTTACATCTCAGACGGGCTTCATCGGGCGTTTGCAAAGCAGAGGACCAGCTAGAAAACCGTGACCACAAAAACCGCCTGCAGACCAGAGCAGCTCGTAAAATCTCCACATTCCTGGCCTGGCTACAGACTCAAAGGGTGACCCAGAACCACACCAACCCCCACAGCGCGGGGACAGGCACAGAGCGAGCCCTACGTGCTCCGAGGGGAAGGGTCGCCGTGTGGAAAGACGCTGTCTCCAGGCATTTCTACATGAACTGCAGCGAGCGAATGGCAAATCAAGAATCAGCAGAGATGCAGCAGCATGGATGGAACTGGAGAGCATTATGCTAAGTGAAATAAGCCAGGCAGTGAAAGAAAAATACCACATATCTCACTCATTTATGGAAAATAAAGAACATTATAACCTAATGAACAAAAAGATAGATACAGAGGCAGAGAAGCGTGGAACAGACTGTCAAATTACAGCGGGAAGTCTGGGGAGTGTGTGTCGGAGGGTAAGAGATCAATCGAAGGACTTATATGCATGTATATAAGCATAACCAATGGACACAAGACACTGGGGGTCGGGTGGGGTAAGGGCATGCACTGGGGAGTAGGGGAGGCTGGGGGTAGGTCAATGGGGAAAAAAAGGAGACATATGTACTACTATTTGTAATACTTTAAACAAGAAAAAAAATTAAACATTGAGTAAAAAAAAAAAAAGAATCAGCAGAAAAAGCTGTGTTGGGTGTGTGTGTGGCCGCCAAGATCCTGGGTGGGACTCGCCAATACACAGACACAGGGTCACGTGCCCTAACACGGCCCGCAGCTGTCCGACCCCGGCTCCTGCTCGCTTTGCTTCTCCACACGAGCGCATCTGGGAAGGACCGGAGGGCAGGGGAAGCAGCCACTAAATTCTGCATCCCCAGCGGGCCCTCCTCCCTCCTCCCGGGGGCACGGAACCCCCTCCAGTCCTTGGGCTGACACCTGTAAGTGGTTCCCTCCGCTTTTGGTCACGCTAACAGCTGACAGTTGAGTCTGTCACGTGGGAATGCTTTGACTGCCCACAAAGGAAGACTGTGGCAAAGCTAGTTGTCGAGGAAAAATGGGTTTGCTGTCGTCTATATTTTCCCACAGGCCCTTGGCATCAAAGCCCGCAAGTAACTCGCTCACGCTGTTGCCCGATGTCGGAATGGCTGTGCCGGCTGGATGCGGAGCCAACAGGGAGCTCAGGGAGGGAGTCACTGACTCCTCCTGTGGTTCTGTTTCAGAGCCTCTGCCTGGTCACATTCAGTCTCGGTCATTTCTCTCCGAAGCTGGAAGCACAGAGCACATGCAGCCACAGGCACCGCAGCAAGAAGCCACCTTCCCTCTCAGTAGTGTCATCGCATGCACATTACTTACAAACACAGCTCTCACTGCTAGGTCAGCAGGAAAGAAAGTCCCAGCTACTCAGAGGCGACGACAAGGAATCTGTCTGGAAATGCGAGTCCTCCCGCGGCCTCCCCCCGCGCGGGCCCTGCCAGGCCGCACGCCCGCCGGAGCCGCTGCCCGGCATTGGGTGGTGACCCGAGCAGCAGGCGGCTCCAGGCCCGACTCCCTCCGGTGCCCCAGGGTTAGTAACTGAGCCGCCGAACCCAAGCTGGAGAGAGAGCAGCACGGGGCGCGCACTGAGAGGCTCTTACTGAAGTTGATGTCCTTATTTGGCCGCTGTGACCCTGGGGGCCGGCCCGTCTCCAGCAGGGCGGCCGGCGCGCTCCCCGAGACAAACATCCGAGCTGAGCAGGCTGCCGCCACGGCCGGGCTAGCACAGGCCTCTGCCCAGCAGTGCAGGGGGCAGGCCAAGGTGACATTGGAACTAGTGGTGGCAGGAGGACTGCGGGCGCTGCTGGGAGCTACCGCGGCGGCGAGGGGAGGAGTGTGGCCGCACACCCACCAGGGCAGGCAATGGAAGCACTTGTCTCACCACCGTCCTTTGCAAAGGCTGAGCTCTGAGCTCGCTCTCTCTCTCTCTTTCTCTCTCTCTCTCTCTCTCTCTCTCACACACACACACACACAGTCAAGCAGCTCTGCCCCCTGCTGGACACGGGAGGAGCCGCAGTGAGAGATCAACAAGCCCAAAGCCTACCTGCCCAGCAGGGGTAAGGGCTGGGAGGTAACAGGATAGCAGGTTTTAGAGTCCGACCTCCCATTGCTGGGCGCAGACAGACACAGGACGTCCCTGGAACACACATCAGGAACGTTTGCGTCACAAAATTTCTGGTGCATCTACATTCAGTTTGGACCCCCCTCTACCTTCAGGGTAAAGGAATGGTGTTTTCTTTCTTTTTTTAAAAAAATATTTTTATTGATTTCAGAGAGGAAGAGGGAGAGAAACTTCAATGAGAAAGAATCATTGATCGGCTGCCTCCTGCACGCCCCCTACTGGGATCGAGCCTGCAACCTGGGCATGTGCCCTTGACTGGAATCAAACCTGGGACCCTTGTCGGAAGGCCAATGCTCTTTCCATTGAGCCACACCGGCCAGAGCAGGATGGCATTTCCTTAAGTGTCATCTATACGTAGGATCAATTCAAAAGCACACTTTATATGAAAAAGTGATGTTCGATTTCTTAACAAGTGAAAACGCTTAACTATTGTGCTGTTTTAACACCAATCTCCAAGCGACCTGCTCTGCCTCAAGCCCTTGTCCTTTGAAGAGGTGGTCTATGGAGCCACTGTCTGTTTGCTCGATCCAGGACCTGACCACCCGCCCCCAACCAGAGGCATTACCCCGCCTCGGGAGGAGATGGAGACCAAGCAGTTCCTCAGCCCTATTCGGGGCTCCACCAGGGGAGAGGGTGAGCTTCATAGGCTGTGACTGGTCAGACATCTGGAGAACTGAGTTCAAAGCAAGAGATCCAAGGGCAGGTGCCACTATGCAAGGTCACTCCGGCAGTTTCATGTACAGCCCAGTGCACATAGCACGCTCACTCCTTCCATGAAGCTCACTCCTTCCGACGCGAAGAACCACCCCAGCAGCCACGCAGCCAGTCCTCAGTCAGGAGCCGAATCCGAGGGATTTCCACCGGTTTTCACGTTTCCCTCCTCCCCCCCTCCCCTTCCCACCTCGTCATTTTGCCCTCTGCATGCACCTCAGTTCCATAAACAATGTTTCCTCGAATAGAGAAGAAGCACATTAGTGTGAAAAGACCTTTATTTGGGAATGGAGAGCGCGGAGCCTCACAACAGGCGCAGTTAGTGTCACGGTCACAGGTGCTGGCCCCACAGCTGGGCCGACTTCCCTTCGTGGGTCCCAGTGATCAGGCAAAAGCATCAGCTTCCACTTACAGTTAAAAACACAGCAGCTTTTCCAGAAAAAACTAGCTGCCAAAATTGTCTCCAGAACTCATTTGTCTAAGATCTGAAATGCCTTGTAATATCTGTATCATTAAATCAATGTCTGACACACCACAGTATGTAGAGTTCATCTTGGCTAATAGTTTTCTTATGAAATACCCTATTTTTGCTTCCTCATAAATAGACAAAAATGACCAAACATCACAAACACCTTCTTCATGGTTTACTGATATTTACAGAGAAAAGTCCATAATCAGAACTCACAGTTGCAATCTATACATTAAATTATAAGTAATCGAACCCCTGCTACAAAAGCTATCTATGTTGACCCACGATAAAAACTGTCTACAGAGTTTAAATACATGAGAAATTACAAAAGAAGGAACCGGGGACCAGGAAGTGGTCTTCGCGTGTGAATCTAGAACTCTCCCACGTCTGCTCTCTTGTCGCGACATTTGCTCCGAGCTTTTGTTCGGGCTTTGAAGGCTGCGGAATTATATAAATGCTGGAATGGAGACAGGAAAACACGCGTGACCCACAGGCTTAGAAAGGCTTACAAAATATTAAAAAATAAGAGAGAAATGAACTAATTTGACCCTATAAGTATTTTATGTTTATAAAACACACACATACAAAAAGAACAAGGGGGAAATCAACACATATAATAGTGGCTATCTATATTAGGAAAATTCCAGTGAAAAGAGTAAAAAGGAAAAAAAGTGCACCAACACTGAATCTGATCAAGGAAAAGTCGAATCATGAACGTGGAAAAAAATTCCAACCATGCCGTCAATCACAAAACATATGACGAAGTTCCATTTTAGTACCAAGTAGACTGACAAGTTCTTTACACATGAAACCCCTGCTGTGGAGTGTGGCAGCTCTGTGCTCTGCCCGGCTGGATGCCACTCCAAATGGTAGAGGAACTAGAAGGTAACTGGCAATGGGGTCAGAGCCATGCCCAGCCCTGGGCTCCCACACAAGGACTTGCTCCAAAAATAATGCGAAAGGAAAAAGTATGTGGAAATATCAGTATTTATTAAAAACCCAACCACCAAAGATGTGGTCATAAAAAATGATTTAAAATTCTAAAAAAATATACAATTAAGCATGTCACACCTATTAGGATGGCTTATTTATTTATATATTTTCACTGATTTCAGAGAAAAAGGGAGTGGGAGTAGGATAGCTTACTTGAGAGAGAGAGAGAGAGAGAGCACGGCTGCTGTGGCTCAGTGTTTGAGCGTCAATCTATGAACCAGGTGGTCATGGACACAAGTCTGGGTTGCAGGCTTGATCCCCAGTGTGGGGTGTGCAGGAGGCAGCCGGTCAATGATTGGCTCTCATCTTTGATGTTTCTATCTCTCTCTCTCCCTCTCCCTTCCTCTCTGAAATCAATAAAAATGTATTTTAAAAAAGTATTTAAAAATGTCACCAAGGGTTACATTATTTTAAAAAAGAGAGAGAGAATCACAGTGCTGGTCAGGGAGCAGGGATAGACCTCATATATTGCCGTGAGAATGCAAAAGGGGCAGCTGCTATAGAAAAGCAGGGCCATTTCTTAAAAAGTTAAACATAGAATTACCATATGGCCCAGCACTCCCACGCCTAAGCATAGACCTGAACGCACTGAGAACAGGTGCTCCAACAAACCTACACAATGTCCACAGCAGCTACACAGGGACAACGGGACAAGTGGGCACAGCCCCATGTCCATCAGCTGCTGCAGCACACACGCGTGTCACACATGGGGACGGAGGGCTGAGGCAGGGGCCCTGCCACACCTGTGATGAACCTGTGCAACGGGCTGCTGTGAGGAGAGCCGGCAGGAAGCCATGGAGCACTCCAGCACTGGGGGTGTGTGTGTGTGTGAAGGCTTCATGGTTCTCCTTTTGAGGAGATGAAATGTTCTGGGACTGGGCAGGGGTGTGGCTGGGCAACACTGAATACACCAATGCCACTGGATTACCCACTTTCCAATAGTCTGTTACGTAACGGGAATTTACCCCAGGGAAAAGGAAGAATGTACTCGGGAATTCTGGACTGTTAGCAGGAGGAATGAATTGCTAGTTCATGGGCTCTTTAGCTTCCTCATCGTAAAATGAGCCTGGTACTTGCTCAGTGATCTGGCACCAAAGAAGCATTGTGTTAATATTTATCCTTTAATTAAAAAACTTCACAGAAAAGAGAACAAAATGAAAATAACGCCTCCGCTAGGATAACAGGATATGGGCGAGAAGTCTGTGTCTGAGCCCCGCACTCTCCACGCGGTTCAGCGTCCGCTTCCGGAGCCTGGTCTGCACCAGGGAGAACTGCCCAGGCCCCGCCAAGCCCGTCCCCTGCAGAACAGCGCACAGCGCCGTGCGGGGGCAGCTCTGAGGCCGTGAGCAGGGAATAACACCTACCCTTTCGAAGCGGGAGATCTTCATCGTCTTCAGCGTGGCAGCATCGAGCATCACCGGGGGCCCCAGTTCAAACACGTGGCGAAGGAATTCGTTCGCCTTTGGTGAAGGAAAAGGGCGACAGGCTCGGGTGAGCTCAGCTGTTCTGCTACAGAGAGCGGGTCTGACGGGGCAGGTGTGCGAGGGGTAGCTGTGCACTGGGTCACGACGGCCCTCTCACTAGGAGACCCTGCTCCCAAGGCCTTGAACCTGGAGCTACGCCCCCCCGTTTCCACAAAGATCTCGGTGCTCTCCGGGGACACAGACGGAGCCACGGGACACGTTCCCTGTCCTGGCATGTCCCCCTCCGTGTCCCGCTCTGTGTCACGTCTGTACGTGGCGAGAGCATTCCGCACACTCACTCCCCGCATAGCCATTAGCAGCCACCTCCCAAGCTCCCCAACTGAAGGGCAAGCAGAAGCCGCCGCTCACCTGCAGGTGGTACTGCAGGCCGGAGCCCAGGACCTCCTTGAACGTGTCGTAGGTGTGCTTCTTGACCCAGCAGTCCATGTACATGCGCTCAGGACCAAACTTAACCGTTTCTGTTGGAAAATCCCGATCCTGGCCGACAGGAAAACCAAAATTGTAAAAGGAAATAAAAGGCTGAAGAGACCCCACACCAACACAGTTCCCAACACACACACACACACACACACACACACACACACACACCCCGAGATCCGTGAAGGTGTGGTGTGCGGACGCAGAAGCACTGCCCGCCCCCCTGCCCCCCCTGAGGCAGGGTTTCTCTGGGTGGCAGACCTGCAGGCACCGCTCAGTGTGGGTGACCTGTAACGGCAGCCACACTGTTGTGCACGTTTTCAATTTCAACGCCACTCAACCAACCTGAAGAAAAGTCAAGTATCTGTACTGGCAGAAACTGCAGGGCATCTGGTTTCTAGAGTTACAGATATTGAGGGATACACACTCTTCCCACATCCGGAGCCTGTGGCTGCTCTGTGGCTACATACTCAGATACGGGAGTAGTCTTGATACTCAGGGCTACCACCACCCTGATGAGAACAAGATGAGTCCTCAGCTGGATGTCTGCTCAAGTGAGCCTTGTTTTAGAGATAAAACCCAGAGGAAGTTTCATTAACCCCAAGTGTAGATCCTAGGGTCGGGGTGGGGAACCTCCTTTCTGCCAGGGGCCCCGTGGGTACTTATCACACCATTCACTTCCCATAATTCACTCCACATGAACGTGTGCTGCTGGACAAGCGCCTGGATTTACTGACTTGCC